GTGGGCGATTTCACATCCGGACCCTAGAGGAACCACATAGGCAGGTTGTGGGATAGACCAGCGGAGCAGGGTGTGCAGTAACCCCGGCAGGTGCAGGACAGCTGGGGTGGGAGGTGGGTGGGGGTGGACAGCGGAAGGCCAAGTGGGAGGGGACAGGCTATTCAAGGCCCCACATGCCAGGAAAGGTGACCTTCATCAACATAGCGCTGCAGGGCTGGGGATTTAGCTCAGTGGTGCCGCCACCTGCCTTGCAAGTGCAAGGTCCCAAGTTCGATTCCCGGTACCAAAAAAAAAAAAAGAAAGAAAAGAAAAGATAGCATTGCAGAGTTGCCGCTGGACTTGGTTTAGCCGGGGCAGGGTTGTGGCTGGGGTGGTGCTGAACTCTGCCAAGGTTATGAGGAAGAGCAAGCCCAGGGCAGGGAGACTCATAGTCCAGGCGAAAGAAGGTGGCTGGCTGGACTTGCGGCATGCAGGTGGCAGATCCCAGAGGGCCTCCTGCAGCCACCGGCTACTCAGATGTGGGGACCCTGGTAGTAGGGTGCACACTGGCCAGAGCCCATCAGTGCCCACAGGTTCAGGGAGCACAGAAGGCTTCTGCCCACCCAGCTGTCCTGTCTGTGGTCCCAGGCCCTGGCTTCCGGTCATGCTCAGCATGGGAGTCAAGATCTGCCCAGTGCTGGGGCCTGTGCTGGAGAAGGGGCTGGGGAGCGGTGAGTCACACTTGTCCTTCTGCAGCCTCCACTTCCCTTCTGCCCAGCTTTTGTGCTGCAGGGCCCTCTGCCTGGTAACCCTCATCCACACGCAGAGCACAACTCCAGGAAGGCAGCTTGGCCTGGATTTCATTCATTCATTCATTCATTTTTTTAGCTACTGGGAATCAAACCTCGTAGCACTCTATCCTTAAATTATCCCCCAGCACCTTTTCTTTCTTTCTTTTTCTTTTTTATATTGAGATAAGTTCTGGCTAAGTGGTCTAGGTGGGCCTAGCAATCTAGCAATCGTCCTGCCTCAGCCTCCTAAGTAGCTGGGATTACAGGCATGCATTACCATGCCTGGTGAGAAGCAATATTTTTTCCAAATATTTTTGGTCTGTAGTTGGTTGAATCCATGAATGTAGGCCCCATGAATGTGGAGGGCTGACTCTTTCTATTTGCAAATAATTTGACTTTTTTTTTTTTTGTATTGGGGATCGAACTTGGACCCTTAGTGCTTTTGAGGCAGGCACCAGAACCACTGAGCCAAATCCCTGGCCTCTGAGAGCTTTTTGTGAGAAGTCATTTACATTTAATCATCCATTTTTGTCTCTAGGCCTCTCTTGCTTAATCTGTACAAAACTGCTAACCCATAAGTGGGCTCAGCACTAATTCAGAAGCTGAAAAATTATGAGACAAAAATATGTTGCAACCCAGGTATAACAAGTCTCAAGGAATGGCAGCCATGGAGAGGCTCTTGCTATTTTTAAGAAATCTCGCCAGTCGTGGTGGTGCACGCCTGTCATCCCAGCACTCAGGAGGCTGAGGCAGGAGGATCTCTGTGAGTTCAAGACCAGCCTGGACTACATAGTGAGTTCCAGGTCAGTCTCAACGACATAGTGAGATCCTGTCTCAAAAACAAACAAACACACAAATAAGAAATCTTTTTTTTTCTTGATTGCTAACTGCAATCATGTCTTCTATTTCTATTTCTGATATTCTGCCCTCACATTGACTCATTCTACTTGCTGGGTATCCATTTCAGTGGGATATTTAATCTCCTGGATATCTGTTGTCATCTGTTTCATGGATATCTGCCCCCCCCCCTTTGAGACAGAGTCTCACTATGTAGTTGAGACTGACCTGGAACTCACTATGTAGCCCAGGCTGGTCTCGAACTCACAGAGATCCTCCTGCCTCAGCCTCCCGAGTGCTAGGATTACAGGTGTGTGCCACCACGCCTGGCTGGATTCCTTTTCTTTCCTATGTTGAGTGTTCATGGTTTCCATCATTTTCCTAAGCTCCTGCATTTTATTTTATGTGCATCTGCTCTAGAGTCACTGAGCATGTCTTTTTTTGGGGTGATCGAACTCAGGTCCTTGCACTTGTAAGGCAGGCGGCAGCACCATTGAGCTAAATCCCTGGTGAGCATGTCTTTTATTATTGTCACCCTCTCTGTAGTTAACTGAGAAATTATTTCTTTTTTTTTATTGGTACTTTTTAGGTATACAGTGAAGTTACATTCGTCATTGGGATCTTGTACCTTTACTTGATAGGTCTTGGTTCTCAAAATTATTTCTGATTTGATTTTTTTTTACAGCCCCAGTCATCTGCTTTGTTACCTCCACTGTTACCACTTGAGAGAGTTCCAGGTGTGTGGGTTTCAAATCGTTCCACATCATTGCCCCCTGGCTTTGTCTTTGGTGAACTGGAAGTTTCAGGTTGCATTTTGTTTGAGTTTCTTCCCATTTTCTATTTTTTTAGTTTATTTATTTTTGTTTGTTTATTTGTTTTTTGTGGTACCGGGGATCGAACTCAGGACCTTGCACTTGCGAGACAGGTAGCGGCACCACTGAACTAAATCCCTGGCCCTCTATTTTTTAGTTTAATTACTGTGTTGACACTTGTAAATTGCCCGTGGTGAGTAGCTGTTTTGCTAGGATTTAGAACCCTTAGGAAATGACGACTTCTCAGACAAGTCTTCCAGGTATAATTGGCCGCTTTTGAGTTGAGCCTGTCGCAAGATCCTACCTCTTCAGGTTATTGGAGATGAGAAGTTGCTGCCTGTTTGGTCTAATCCCTGACTCTTTGGTGTTGGCCCATAGTATTTTTTATGACCCTTAGGCAATCTCAGTCTTGGTACACCAGGAAGAACAATTGATTAGCGCAATCGTGTCTCCTTGGCTAAAGTAGTATAATCAGCAACAGCAATAGCACCAAACATAGCCTAGACAATAATAACCTGTGGTCATTATTAATTGACCACATTTGAACTAGATTCATGGTTATATAACAAAATCCAGGATGAACCAGAAAACTGTATGCCGTAAATAAGCTATTTTCCCCTCTGGGGAGAAAATTTAAAAGGGGTTAAAGGGAAAAATAGAAAAATAGAACAAGTGGAAGAGATTAGAAGCCAGACTAGAAGACAAAGGAAGATCATGCAAACTTTGCAAAACTGTTACGAACACAGGAGGGAAAAAGAAGGAAGAAATAAAAA